CGGAGATGCCCGGTCTCGACCTTGAGGTCGCCTGTCATCAACTCGCCATTGATCCAGTCGCTAGGGCAGTAGTACAACGTAGGCGTAGGCAGTCTCCCGAGAAAGCGGAGGTTGCTGAAAAAGCTGTAAAAGACCTCCTAGAGGCAAATTTTATTTCTGAAGCTCGGTATTCAACCTGGCTGTCAAATGTTGTACTTGTTAAGAAAAATAATGGAAAATGGCGTATGTGTGTTGACTATACCAATCTTAATCGGGCATGCCCTAAAGATGCATTTCCCTTGCCTAATATTGACATGTTGGTCGACAACTCGGTCGGCTATAAAATTTTATCTTTTATGGACGCTTATTCGGACTACAACCAAATCCCAATGGCAATGAGCAAAAAACACTGCACTGCTTTCATGACCAGCTCGGACAACTATTACTACAACGTAATGTCATTCAGTCTAAAAAACACAGGAGCAACGTATCAGCGGATGATGAACAAAGTCTTCCGCAACCAGATCGGAGATATGCTCGAGGTATACATGGACGACATGATCGTCAAGTCCCGAGTAGACACCGACCATGCCGCTCGAGAATGAGGAAGGCGTAGTGATCGAACATTCGCTCACCCTCTCTTTTCCAACCTCAAACAATCAGGCAGAATACGAGGTGTTGCTCGCATGTTTAAGACTGGCCGAGGATTTAGGCGCCCGCGAAATACAAATTTTCACTGACTCCCAACTTGTCGCGTCTCAAGTTCAAGGGGGATACCAGGCTAAGAACAACAGCCTCATCGAATATTTAAACTTGGTCAGGGAACATATGAAAAAGTTCGACCGGGCAGAAATTTCGCACGTACCACGCGAACAAAACACACGGGCCGACATAATTTTGAAGCTCGCAAGCACGAAGAAGAAAGGCGGAAACAAATCCGTCATACAAGAATCTCTATCTCGCCGGAGCATTGAAAAATCCATGACTTTACCCGAAGTAAATGCCATCAGGGACAACTCGTACTGGATGACCCTGGTATTCAATTTCCTAACGAAGGGTGAACTTCCCCTGGACCAAAGAGAAGCGGTCGCGACCAAACGACGAGCATGCTCCTATGTGGTACTCGAGCACAAATTGTATCGTCGGGGATTTTCCATCCCACTCTTGAAGTGCGTCGAAGAGTCCATGGTCCCCGAGATACTACGAGAAATTCACGAAGGGGTTAATGCCCAACACATGGGCGGAAAGTCCATAGCACGAAAAGCATTGCGAGCGGGGTACTACTGGCCAACAATGCAACAAGACGCCAAAGAGCACGTCAAGAAATGTGACAAGTGTCAAAGGCACGCCTAGATGCACCTCGCCCCGCCGCACGAGCTGAACACATTATCGTCCCCATGGCCATTTTCCTAGTGGGGAATGGACATCCTCGGACCTGGTTAAATGGGCCCACCCCCTCGACCACTATCTCGACCCCCGGGTTCAAGATCTTTAGCTGCTCGATGGCAGTATTGAAGCCATAGCCAAGAGTATCGACCACGTCTTGTTCGAGCACGCAGATGCGAGCAATCAAATCCGCCTTGGTCGTCATGTTCTTCTCCGTATCGGTTTCATCCTCGGTAGGCGCAGTAATCCCCTCTAACTCCAAATTACGAGCGACTAGACGCTCGTTCTCTTTAGTGGCCGCCTCTAGCTGGGGTCTCAGCTCATTCAAATCCTTGAGAAGCTGAACTTGGGCCTCGAACTTTGACTCGTGGTTGAGGATATCACACTTCAACTTCTCATTTTTTTGCCTTCAGCTTGTGAATTTTGACGTAGGTCGTGTCGAGGGAGGCTTGAGCACTCGAGGACTCATTGTTGAGCGAAAGAGCCGTCTCGAGCACCCTCATTACAGCGGCCACGTCCTCGGCCAAGTGCTTTCGGCGAACTTTCTTGTCTTCAGTCAAGATTGCCTCCCTCTCCTCCCCGCGCACGCTGAGGGAGTTCTCCTCGCTGAAGAGGTCGCGATTTAGATAGCAAAGAGGTAATACAAAGACCCCTGCGGGCGTTTTGTCACGCCCGCAACCCTATCTACACGCTTCCTCTTAGCCACTGGCTCGTTGACGGGAATCTGGGCCGAATCAGTAGAGGAAGCAAGATTTTTTGATGAGGAAGGGGAACCACTGGCCCGACTGGCAGACTTGGCTTGTTCCTGAAGCTGGGTGACCCTGTTTCGTGGCCCAGAAGTGGATGCGTTCTTGGGCCTCAGCTTCAACAGACACTCGGAAAGAGATGCCATGCGACCTGCAATCAAAAAGAATCGTTAGTCGAGTTGAAAAAATCAAAAATAGCGCGAACACATCCCCGCATAAAGAGGAGAAAATTAACGGTTACGCCTCTTACCCAAAAGCCTCATGGCTTCCCCATTCGAGGAGCACTCGAGCAAGGCCTTTGTGTTGATCAACCTATTGACTAGGAGATACTTCCCCTCCTCGTCGAATAACAGGTTATTGTTCGCATCCACGCACTTCGCGGGGGGAGAAACTCTTAACATAAGCCGACAGCTTCTCGTACGAAAGCTGGTCTTGGGCATCCAAGTCCTCAGGTTTCACTGCATAGTATTCGGGCCTTTGTTCATAATGCTTCCACTACCATTCGAGCGGGAATCTGACCATAAGTCGGGTAACTGACCGCCCGTCCTCCACCTCTTCCACGCGGGTATAAAGAGAATCTATAGCCGCGTCCGTCAGGGGCTTCACGACGAAGTACCTCTCTTTAAAATTTCGGACGGACTCTAGATAAGGCCGGAAGAGTTTCCCGAACTGCTTGAAGGATACCCACGCCTGCCCCCCTCGGACAGATTGTCTTTGGAGGTGAAAGATGCGGAAAAAAGGGGCAGCGTGGCGCCTATCCTCAGGTACTGGCAAACGAGCTCAAACGCCCGCATAAACGCCAGCGCGTTCAGATGAAGTTGGGAAGGCGCCAACTAGAGCCACTGGAAAACCCCGACCTGAAAATCGTTGAAGGGCAGGCGCATCCCCGCCTCTTTGAAAGCAAATTCGTATATGGGGAACTGTTTGCCCGGATACGTCGAGCATATCATTCGGTCCTGATGGGGGATTTGGAGCATCCAATTGGCGGGGGCCCTTCTGCGCGTTCCTCCGGGCAATTGAACGCATCCGTCGCATCTTGGGAAAAGCACGATCGTTTATCCCGGGGCTCAGGAGCGACCCAAGCCAATGGGTCCTCGTCGATATGGGGCTCGTCTTCGTGATGGGCGGCCGGAATGTCATCCCCGACTGAATGCGCCATTATACCTGAAAAGCAAGGGAAATTAGTGAATTCGACATTATCAAATCCACCCTTCCACCGCAGATCAAGTGAAAGGGCGACGAACTCGACCCAAGCCCTCGACACGCTAAAGCGGACCATTACATTACGAGGACATGTTGTCGGAGGGATCACTCATCGAGCAAAAAGCCCGAGATACCCCCTATATTTGAGGAAACCATCCCCTGTTACAGACATTGTGCGGGGAGGCCCCCGACATTATAGCTAATGAACGTTCATAAGTGTTTGGCACATTCATGAGTGCTCAACACAGAATCCATGACCTCAAATGAACATTCATGAGTAATCATCATAAAACTCATAAATGTTCATCCAATCAAGGCATAATTTTGATATTTAGTCCAGAAACGCTCAAGAAACATGGTGTTAAGAGGTTATAACTTACTTGGATGAAGAACTTGGAGAGAGAATCTAAGAAGATTGAAAGGATTGCTTCGCACAACGAGCAAAGAAATCTGAGAAGTTGAGAGAATCGCTTCACACCACGAGCAGGAAAAGGTTGAGAGGAAACTTGAGAAGTTGACAAATGAGACTCAGGGGCCCCCTTTTATAGGCGACCCGCGCCCCAAGGGATCCCTCACGAAAGGTCATCATTTCATTGGCCCTTTTTGCTTTTCCCTTGAAGGGGAAGCACCCCAAAGCATTAGTTATGTGGCTCAACTATCAACCACGAGTCCCTTCTGGACTGACAAGCATACGCCCGACTCTTACGCGCCGTCCCCAGACACGCACGAGGCAGACACCTACACGAGGAAATGCTCGACATTAGAGCGTACGTAAGGACACTTCTATTCGACCACCTCGGGGACGAAGTAATGCTCGACAAACCAACAACTCCCTCGAGACGGACATATCAAAGGGAATCTCGCAGGGGCTCCCCGTTACTAATACATCCCCTCGAGCAAGCGGTTGACCCCTTCGGTCTCGCTGCCCGCTCAACAATGATATCCCCCGACGTACTCGCGTTTATCCCCCACGCGGGCAACAACAACTCACTCCATTCGGGGGACTCTGGTCGTCTACCTCGATCAAGTCTATGGTATCGAGAGCTGAACTAAAGTCACTGCCCTCTTACCCAAGGACAATAACTTGGGGGGCTCCTGATCTGGATTGGGCCTACACTTGTCCTTCCAACGGGAAGCCCAAAGACAGCCCAAGTTAGGGACTGTTGGACAACTCCCCATCCGACCATTGGAGGACGTGGCTCACGTGCCCACCACTGTCATCTTAAATTGTCCTCCGGAAATCACGGGTCCAACCCTATTCTCGCGGAGTAGTTGACCAGGGGGCTAGACTCCATACACACGTAAGCCCTGACAGTTCCTGTTATTGGGCCTCAACGTGGCCCAGCGTTGGGGGCTATAAATACTCTTTCTCTCAAGAGGGTCAGGTATTCCATTCATATCTCTCTAACTCATACTTGTTTGCTCATTCCATTCAAAACAATGGCCATTCTTACCCCTAACGTTGAGATAACCGGAAATTTCAAAAGACCAAATCTACCGAGAGAAAAAATGAAGATAAGCTCACCTGAGTTGCCTTTATATGATACATGTCTGGATGGTAATCCTCATCAAACAAACTTGGAAACCTATCTCTAACCATGATTCCAAGAGCATATAATTCTTCCTCTCCTCTTCTAATTAACTCACTGCCTTTAAACTTTCCTTGCCAAGGAGATTTCCATCCATTCAACCAAGATGGACTCTCTCTGAAGACAAATGTTTCTCTTTTGCGTCCCTTATAAGAACTTCCAGATCAGATAACAAATCGTCCAACTGCTTAATTCTTTTCTTCGTTGGAGAACGGGTCCCGTGCCTTGCCTGGCTACGTAACATATAACATAGCATTATCAATTATCACACTCTTCCATTTAGTCAATGAAATAATCAAAACTATACTGTTAAGAAAATTACCACTAAATTTAAATGTATTGGAGTACATCCTTCTGGAACTTTAGAAGGAATGAAGTTCTTGTTAGTAATGTCTTTCACAATTTTGTACCTAAGCAGAACATTAACAAATCAATCTTAATAGGTTTTTCAAAAAATTTGATAAAGCGCGCACGAAAGCACAATAGAGGAAGAGCTTCAGTATCCTCCTTCGTGTCCAAAAGGAATGGTGTCAAACATTAATAAATACCAAGTTATGAACATCATAACAGTGGAGGGTGCCAAATGCTGATTATGATTTAAACAACAATTTAAAAAGTCAAATCATGGTTGAGAACTGATGAGAACTGAATTCCTTAATCAATATGAAACAACAACAACATCAAGGATAAGAATAACATAAGGGTAAGCCAAGATTCCGATTTATCATAATAAATTAGTCTGCTTTATACAATGGATGCCATAAAGAGGAGTGTGATCACTTACACAGTGTCCTAAAGTCAGTTTCGCAAAGGTACTTGCAGCGTCCTTGTCGTTCTTGAATTCGGCTTGATATTGTGCCTGGTTTTCCAGCATCTGGATTCTTCTAGATTGAATCTGAGATTGAACTCGCACTACCAGCTGCATGTGTTTCTAGTCGCTGAATGGACAAGTGATAAACTTTTAGCCTATGAACTATAAAAAACAATAACAATAGTAACAAAAGGAATCATAACAACTACTTTCATCAACACAAAAGGGTCATTGTAGCTCAATTTTTAAAGTATGGAATGCCCCAATCTGCAGAAAGCAATAAATGTAAGAAGTTAAATTAATCAGCTAAACTGAAAATGAGACTGACACTACCTATGAACTAACCAACTAACTACCTTAACATGTTTATTCTGTAAAATATTCTTCCCGCGAACATGCAAAACAACACATTCTCTACAATACTCTTTAACCATTAGTTACTTCTATAAGAAGCTTCCTGTTACAAAAAACTGCAGAAGTAAAATGGTTCACACTTATAAGAAACTTCAATCTTGATTATAAGCAAAAGTACTTAACTTCACACTTATTAAGGAACATGGTTAAGTAAAATAAATCTCCTTAATATCATAAAAATATGAAGTATGGATGATACATAATTTCATAAATGAAAGAGCTTATCAATATTAACAATTAATTAGTCCCTAGTATTGCATTTGCAACATTAATTAATATAATTATGAATTACTCCATAAATGTTAACCTGATGAGACAAAGTTTTTGTTCATTACTTATGAACAACTCCAAGAAACTCAATATTGTGAAAGTTGTTATCAGATCGACCTGAAAAAGACACCAAACATAAGTGTCACCAGCTGTTTTGCTTCGTTTGGAGTGAGATATAAACATAGATGAACAAACTTACCTCATAATCTGTTCAAGAGACAGTTTCACCAGAATCTTTTGTTGTCATAACACCTTTAAAAGATATTAACATAATAGGAATCCAAATCCCAAAAGGAATGAACATTCACATTCCAATCTCAATATTGCAGCAAGATATTAATCTTTCGGGTCTAGAAAGATTTGGGAATGATGTACTTCGAGACTGCAAGGTTCCACAGCCTTATATACCGTTTGGAATCGGTGCCCGTGTATGTGTTGGACAACATTTTTCCATGATAGAATTGAAGGTGAGGTTGTCTCTTATTCTGCCAAAAATCTAAACATCAGATATTCTTAAAATGATATGGCGATCCAAACTCAACTAAGCCATCGGTATTCAAACTCACCCAACTCCCAAATGTTCTCATGGGTCGAACTTATTGTCAAACAATTGGAATACATATACAAATACACACATAGACATTACATATCTATTGAACCAACTTACTGATCTTAGGTACAATTAACCGACAAGATGTGATTCAGAAAGGGGAAAATGATAAAATCGAATCATCAACATATCAACGCAGAATATCAATTCTTTAAAAACCCAAAATACTATTTACTTTAAAATCCAAAATGATATAGCATATAAAAATTTAAAATACTCTAAATCATTGAAAACCCTAAAACATTCCGCAACAATAAAAGGAAAACAGTAAAATCTTGAAAATCTTAAATCCATTTTGAAAGGAATACTTTAAAAATCTAAATAATAATAAGTGAAATTTGAAAATCTACACCAAAGTAAACAGGAGTATGTTTGTAAAATCTGTATCAAACCATAAATTCATCATCGTTTGTATGTGTTTAAATTGGCTCTAATGGTTATACTCATCAAGGAAAACTATACAAAGACGAAACAACAAAACAACAGAAAGATGAAGCTCATAAAATCGTTGGTGTAGCAGTAAAACTCCAAAATAAGGATTGGCCCTATAACCACAAACACCAGAAAACATAGAGAGAAGCAAACAGAAAAATAAAAATGAAACCTCATACCTCACAAGAAGAACATGAATCGGTGAAATTGAACAGAGAATTTCAGGCAATAGTGATTTGAGATTCAGATCTGAAGAAAACAACGATGGTGCTTAAACTATTTTCCAATGTGTAGCTGTAAAAATAGTGATTGTTTGTGATCCAAATCTGAAAACAATAGCAATGCACTAATCAAAATCAATAACAAACAAAAATCCTAAGAAGAAGAGAGCGAAGAAAGGAAGACGAGATAGGAAAAATACGGGTAGAAGAAAGGAACAGAATGGAAGAGACAGATAGAAGAAAGGGAGAGAATACAAAAAGGTGTTTCTTGAGAAGGTGCATTTTATTATAATCAAACAAATTACAGTGATCATTGAGATAATTTTGATCTAACTCTTTTATATCTTAGAATTTTAAAACAAAAAGGATTCGATCCCAACTAAATTTCTCTGTCTTATAAAAAAATATGGCTAACACATAGCCCTTGCAGGATTGCAATTAGATAAACGAAGAAATTATAAAGTATTTACACAAATTTTTCTTATAGGCGATAACCATGTTTTTCTTAATCATAATTAAAAAATTGTGTGGTATTATACTAACTCAAAAATGTTATACGCTTAGGTCGTATTCATCCATGTGATTAAAATACACATTCTTATTCAATATCTCTATCATTGACTACCAGTAAAAGACTCGTGCGTCTGTACGGATAGATTTATTTTTATTTTAGATCATTTCATAAAGTTTGATTGTCGTTTATATATAATTGTTGTTAAAACAACATAAAACATAAAACTAGAGCTTTGAAGGTAGTAATAATGGTGAAAAGAAACTCGATAAAGATGAAATGAGAGAGAGAGAGAGAGAGAGAGAGAGAATTGGGGTAGAGAGTAATATTGGTGAATCAAAAGTGGTATTAACATTGAATTGGGATTACAACAATGTATATATACACACGAGAGAATAGTACAACTAGTAACCAAAACCAACTAAAGTGTCATGCTGTTAAATTCTGTTATTTTCCAAAAAAACTAACAGCTGTAACAGATTTTTAACAGCTCACAACACACCACCTCACTTTAGTTGCTCCAAGTTCATCATGCTCAAGCTCTTCAACAGTCTCTTGAACACTTCATTTGTCACACCCTTGGTCAACAAATCCGCAACTTGGTCCTCGCTTCGGCAATAGCTCAATCTAAGCTTTCCATCACCAACCAATTCTCTCAAGTAATGAAACTGCATCTCAATATGCTTGCTTCTTCCGTGTGCAATCGGATTCTTCGCAAGATTTATCGCGGAAACATTATCCACAAACAGTGTGGTGGCATCATCATCACCACATCCCAATTCCTTCATAAGATTCACTAACCACATAGCTTGGCAAGCACTCAATGATGCCGCAATGTACTCGGTCTCACAAGAAGAGAGTGCTACAACCGGTTCCTTCTTCGAACACCACGAGATTGGTGTACTACCGAACATAAAGATGTAACCCGCCGTAGATTTCCGATCATCTTTATCTCCGCGCCAATTAGAATCGGTGTAGCCAAATAAAGTACATTTGTGACCCATATCCGATGTGGGAAACAAAATACCACAACCAAGAGTACCTTTCACATATCTAAGGATTCTCTTGACCGCCGCCAAGTGAGACACCTTAGGTCTCTCCATGAATCTACTCGCAATACCGACACTAAAAGCCAAATCCGGTCGAGTATTGCACAAGTACCGTAACGACCCAATCAAACTCCGGTAAAGTGTTGGATCCACATCATCCTCATCATCACTTTTGGACAGCTGTACTCTAGCCTCACAGGGTGTAATAGAAGCATTACAATGCTCCATCTCACACTTTTTCAAGATATCTAGAGCATACCTCCTTTGATGCATAAGCAGCCCCACTTTTGACTTGTGAAACTCTACGCCAAGAAAGTAACTCATGACACCAAGGTCTGTCATCTCAAACTCACTCATGAGCTCCACTTTGAACCTTGAAATACTCTTGTTATTGCTGCCCGTAATCAAGAGATCATCAACATACAAGCAAAGTATAATAACACCATCAATAGTATTCGATCTCACATAGACACCATGTTCGGATACACACCGTTTGAAACCGATGTCAATAAGAAAGCCGTTTATACGTTTGTTCCAAGCTCTCGGAGCTTGTTTCAAACCATACAACGCCTTGTGTAGCTTGTAGTACTTCCTCTCTTGATTTTTGATCACGAAACCGGGTGGCTGCCCCACATAAACCTCCTCATCAAGAGGACCATTCAAAAACGCAGATTTCACATCCATTTGGTAAATCACCCAATTGTTACTATGCGCAATTCCAACAACCAAACGAATAGTCTCCAATCTAGCCACCGGTGCGAATACCTCCTCGTAGTCTATGCCTTCACGTTGCAAGAACCCTTTTGCCACTAATCGAGCTTTGTGCTTGATTACTTCACCTTTAGGATTTGCTTTAACTTTATAGACCCATCGCACACCTATCGGTTTCTTTCCAAGTGGTAAATCGACCAACTCCCAAGTACCATTTTTCTCAATAGATTCCAGCTCCTCTTTCATTGCACATATCCATTTAGGATCACTTAAGGCTTCCTCCTCATTTACCGGTTCAGATTCGGCCATAAGCGTGAAATGAACAAAATCACCATCATTATTCACTTCGTTATCTTGGAACCTTTCGCAATCTCGGAGTCTATGAGGCAAGGCTCTTTGCCTCACTGGTCTACCATTATTCACAACATCATTTTCCGGTACTATAGGTGTAGGTACAGCGGCATCGGAATTCTCCGGATCAAACAAATCAACAAACTGCTGCTGTTCAGCAGGATGTAATCGATTAGCAACAAACTGCTGCTGTTGTTCACCTACTGTTTCAGCAGTTTTTATTTCATCAAACTGCACATCTCGGGTTATCACGATTTTCCGATTCCTCTCATCAAATAGCTTGTAACCTCCCGTAGAGTGATATCCAACAAATATCAATTTCTCACCTTTATCATCCAATTTCTTTCTAAGTTGATTCGGTACATGACGATATGCAATCGATCCAAAAATGTGCAAATGATTCACACTCGGTTTGAAACCACTCCAAACCTCTTCTGGTGTAATTTTCTCCAGCTTCTTAGTAGGACACCTATTCAACAAGTAGGTGGTTGTAGACACGGCCTCACCCCACAATTCTTTAGGTAACTTCTTCCCACAAAGCATACTACGCACCATGTTCATTATTGTACGATTTTTCCTCTCGGCTGCTCCGTTTTGTTGAGGCGTATATGGAGGCACCACCTCACGCACAATACCCTCAAGATCACAAAACTTCCCAAACTCACTAGAGGTATATTCACCTCCACCATCCGTTTTGAGAATTTTGAGCTTCCGACCGCTTTGACGCTCCACCATGGATTTGAAACTCTTGAACACTCCAAACACCTCATCCTTTCTCTTGATAAGATATGTCCAAAGCTTCCTACTAAAATCGTCAATGAACGTAACAAAATATCGATTGCCGCCATAAGTCTCTACTTGCATCGGTCCACAAACATCGGAATACACCACCTCAAGTAAGCCTTTGGTTCTTCGACCCGCATCCTTGCTAAACACATTCTTGTGTTGCTTACTCTTCACACATTCCTCACATAATTCTGTCGGAACACTAATATGTGGCAGCCCCGTTACGATTTCACTTTGTTGCAACATTTTAAGATCCCTAAAGTTTAGGTGACCAAGACGGTAATGCCATAACCACTCATCTCTACTTGCCGCGGTAGCTAAACAACGATGTTCCATAACCTTTAACTCAACCTTAAAAGTTCTATTGGCAGCCATCGGCGCTTTTAGAATCAACACACCGTTTGAATCTAAAACGCGTAACATCTTGTTCTCCGACCGAATTAAGTACCCTCTTTCAAGTAATTGGCCAATGCTTAAAAGATTGCACTTAATTCCCGGTATGTACAAGACATCTTTGATCCTAGAGTGTCCATCATTCTTTCTTCCGATCAAAACATCTCCTACCCCTTCGGCTCTTAAAGTGGTGTCGTCGGCAAACTTGACTTTACTCTTTGCCGCTTGATTGATTTGCACAAACCAATCCTTTCGACCCGTCATATGTGTTGAACAACCGGAATCCAAGTACCACTCATCTTTACTTTGAACTTCATCACGCATAGTAAGTAATGCATTTCGATCCGAATGCATTTTTCCACCACTTTCTGAAATTGTACAGCTGCTGTCCAGTAGACTATCACCACAGTAGCTGATGTCCGGAACATCAACAATGCCATAATTCTCTTTCGTAATCATCACAAGAAGGGTATATTCATCATCTACCTCTTCCCTAGAAACCTTAGCCTCATCCGCATCCTTTTCCTTGCGTTTTGAGCGACATTCTTTCGCAAAATGTTCAAGCTTTTGATAATTATAACACTTCACAGAACTTTTGTCAAACGGTTTGTGGGCGCTTTGATTACCATCTTTGGAGCTTCCTTCACCCTTTTAATTTTGTGGATATTTTCCACCAAAATTCTTCTTATTTTTAGAAGTCCACTTCCCTTTCAATCTATTGTTCTTCTCATGTAAACGCGCTTGCAAAGCGATCTCCGCTTTGGCTTTGTCGGCACTTCTCTCATCCATCCTTTGTTCATGCGCCTCTAACGAACTTTGCAACTCATCTTTGCTCAAAGTTGTTAGATCCTTTGACTCCTCAATAGCCACAACAATGTTATCGAAACGTGATGTTAATGAACGCAACACTTTCGATACAACATTCTGCTCAAGGATCGTTTCGCCACATGACTTGATTTGGTTGACTAACCGGGTAATGCGCGTTATGTAATTGTTGATCGTTTCTTTGTCCTCCATTTGCGTTAACTCGAATAGACGTTTGTAAGTTTGTAACCTTACCACCTTCGCTTTGACGGCACCAGCATACGCTTTCTCCAAGATTTCCCATGCTTGCTTCGCGGATTCACAATCACCAACCTTCTCGAAATTGTCGTTATCAACACAAGAGTGAATCAAGAATAGGGCTTTGTAATCCTTTTTCTTTTCTTCCTTGTGTGTAGCCCTACGAGCATCGGTAGCATCTGCCCCTAACGGTGTAACTCCATTGATGACGATCTCAAGCACCTCTTGATAACCAAACAAAACCTTCATTTGTTTCGCCCATTTGTCGTAGTTCTTCGAATCAAGAATTGGGAGATTGGTGGGAATTCGATCATTGGAAACTGTAGCCATTGTTGCAACGGATTAGGATCAATAACCGGAGCTCTTGATACCAAATGTTAAAACAACATAAAACATAAAACTAGAGCTTTAAAGGTAGTAACAATGGTGAAAAGAAACTCGATAAAGATGAAATGAGAGAGAGAGAGAGAGAGAGAGAGAGAGAGAGAGAGAGAGAGAGAATTGGGGTAGAGAGTAATATTGGTGAATCAAAAGTGGCATTAACATTGAATTGGGATTACAACAATGTATATATACACACGAGAGAATAGTATAACTAGTAACCAAAACTAACTAAAGTGCCATGCTGTTAAATTCTATTATTTTCCAAAAAAACTAACAGTTGTAACAGATTTTTAACAGCTCACAACAATTGTTATATAAAATTACTAATAAATGTAAATATTTATAAATATTAGATTGATTAAAATAAATAAATAAAAAGTATTGCGGTGATAGTGGTCCGTAAAAATAGTGATTTTCATTGATAAAATTCACATGAAATGATAAAATTTACAAATATCACTCTCATTGTTTCCTTAGAATTCAATAATAATTGATAGTTTGACTGATAAAATTCACAAGAATTTCAAATATTTGATGACAAATATTTGGTCGATTAAAAAAAGGTATTATGGTGATAGTAACTTGTGCCACTTTTTATTTCAAAGGTTTCCAAAAGAATAAGTTCTAACTTTCTATTTTAATAAATATTAGTTACATTCACAAAGGTTCAACTTTCTATCACAAAGAATAAGTTTTAACTTTTCACTAGTCGATAACCCGTGCTGTCGCACGGGGCCGGTCGAGAATTCATAAAACGTGGAACTAATGTTGTCATGTAACAGTAAAATCATTTTTATGAAATTCAATAAAAGTTCATCTAATTCGGCCAAATTTAGTGTATCAAACTTATTTGACAACATTAAAAAATGTAAACTGAAATCATGATTGTGTAACAATATAAGAAACTGTGATGACTCTTCAAAATAAGAAACTATCATGAGTCTTCAGATACAACACAACCAGCTTGGAAACGATGTTTTCAACTTTATCACCTGCACAATATATGATGCAAAAATTAGACAGCATTTACGAAAACAATTTATATTAAAGAAATTATTTGTTATTATGTACTTACCGATCAACAAAGAGATTGGAAAACTTCTTTGTATACAACATTTGTAGTGATAGATGTTGATACATTCATACTATCATGTATTAAGATCTTTAGACCACTTTTGCTTGTAACTCTTGAAATGGCTACATACAACTGGCCATGACTGAATACAGGAGTAGGCAAATACAATCCAACTGTATCAAGTGATTGGCCTTGAGACTTATTAATTGTCATTGCGTACGACACAATAATTGGGAATTGTCTCCTAATCAACTTAAATGGCCACGGTGACTCAGAAGGTGACATAGACATTCGAGGGATGAAAAAGATGTTACCAACATTCTTACCAGACATGATCTTTGCCTCAATAACGTGATTTGCCAACCTTGTAACAATTAGTCTTGTTCCGTTACACAAACCATCGTTTTGGTCCAAATTCCTCATAAGCATTATTGGTGTACCAACCTTTAATCTGAGTTTGTGATTTGGGACACCTGAAGTCCTAAGCTTGCTAAGAAATTCTGGAGTAAGACATTCATAGGCTTCGGTGTAACTTGAATCAGTTCTATCAATCGAATCAAAACTCAAATACTCTTTGTCCTCACCTAAGAAATGGGAAAACGCGAATCAATCCATAATGTTTTTTCAAGATTTATTTAATAACGAAACATCTACACGAAAAGAAACATCAAAAGAAAAAAGAGTTTACCCGGTATCATGTCTAACACGTAATGATTAATTTTATCAACAACTTCAATGGTTGAAGCAAGTATTGCTTTTCCTTGTAGAAATTCTACATTTTGAAAGTAGGCAAGCAAATTTGGGTATGTGCTTTCAACTATATCTCTTATTGGATCCTCAAAATTGGAAATTAACAAATCAGGAGGAATTTCTATATCAGCTAATCCATCGTTAGGTTCACATATTTTACCGTCGCCAACATTTAATATCCATTTAGAGAATTCTGCAAGTTCATCAGAAGTTGTAACGTCCCTCCCATTCTGTAGTCTCATGTTTTTGGTTAGTGTTAAGACTTGGCAATAGTCCCACACATAAGAAGAACAAATGGAAGCATGAACAATATCAGAACGGCCTGCTCTTGGAACAACTGGAAGTATCTGTCGAAAATCTCCTCCAAATATAACTACCTTGCCACCAAAAATTGTATTTGCAAAACCCTTATCGCTCATGACATCCTTAAGGGTCTTATCCAAGGCCTCAAAACAATTCTTATGAGCCATGGGTGCTTCGTCCCATATTATGACATCAGTAGCTTCGA